GATCAAAGCCAGGAGCTTTTTGCAGCACAGAAATGTCAGGTGGAGTACTTGTGAAGCAAATTGTGGGAACGAAGAACTGCAAAACTAACTGCCCCAACTCCTGGGGTGCCTGAGGCAGCCCGGAGCACCACTGAACATTTTTTGGGGAACGGCAGCAGTTGCTTTCTGTTTCATCTCTGAAGCGGGAGGAGAGATTAGGAATACGCAGGTTGCAAACCTGATGTTTCCCAGCAAGTCTGCAACAACTGGCTGGTGGCATCTTAAGCAGAGCAGGACTTTGGGGCAGATATCAAGGACTCCACTATGCATCCACATCCCACACTATTTCCTTCACAGGTATTTAAATCACTCTCCCACATCCCCTCTTCTTGTTCACATACAGAAGGGACGGAGGTGAGGTATTCACCCTTTCTCATCCCCCACTGCAACATTTGAATGAAGATCATGGGGATGGGACAATCTTCATCAGGATTGCAAGGGAAAGTTAAACCTCCCCACCCCCTCACAGTTCTGCTCTTTATCACTGTGGGAAAGAGCAGAGAAAAGGGGAGCCTGCTGCAGTTAAAGTTAGGCTTCACCTGTGGCACCCCACTCCTTTATCCATGCTGCTCAGCTGCCCCTGCAAGCTGAGCACCTGGAAGTGTGGGGAAGGCTTCTGAAGTGTAATCAGTGCAGTGTGTGTTCAAAGTGCTCTGTTCCCTCCTTTGGTGGGAAGGATGTTGTCCCCTCCCTACCAGGACAGGGAAGGCTTGGGCAGAGCTGGCCAGAGGCTCTTCCTGCCACTGGAAAGGGCTGGCACCCAGCAGCCATGCCCCTCCTGATATTCAGCATCTTGTAATGATTACTAAAGCATGTTAGTGTGAGTGCACCAGCTTAGTGCCATGGTTTGGTTAGCCTTGGATCTGGACGTAGACCAGGGTTCTAATTACCTTTGACGCATACCCCAGGAGTTGGGCTTGCTCATTATTCCTTGCTCTAATCAACCTCACAGGGCTGCTGTGGGAATAAAAGAGGGACTCCCTAACACAGCATCCTTAAGCTCCTTGGAGGAACAAGATGCAGACAGGATGAACCTAAATAGCACAGGAAGTGGTCCTTATTTCTAAGTAAATATGTTTGAGACTGTAAGACACTATAGGAGTCTTAAAATAAAAATAGAAAACAGGCATAGCTGCATTGCCCATATAAAATCCAAAATTAATATTATAATACCTATACTAGACTAACAAAATATCCCTTTCTTTCTTCAGGGGCATAAATACCAAAGGGGCATGCAAACCAAAACATGGGACTATATGGCTTGTCCTCTGCCCCTTTCATAAGACTTTAATCGCTTCTCTTCAGTAGAGCCTCTTCAAAGCTGAGCCCACAGAAAAGGCTGGGCCTGAGGCCTAACTTGATGGTTGCCTGCTGCTGGGCAGGCAGTGTCTCAAACACAGGAGGCAGATTTTGCTGCAGAAACAGCAAAAGGTTGGCAGGAGGAGAGTAGCAGACTGATCCACAAGCAAAGGGAGACCACTACCACCTACTGGTCCGTTTGGTGATCAGTTGCATGGCATCTGGCAAGGGCCTTTCCCTCCCGCAATGCTTTAGTTCAGTCACTGTCAACTCTCTTGCATTGTTTCTACGCAATGCTTGCTCATGTCAGAAACAGAAGAGGCATTTATGGCTGGACTGAGCAGACCACAGGCCTGCGGGCTTAAGACTACACGAGCCATGTGGGATCAGAGCAAAGGCTTACCCAGTCCTTTAATCTGTTCATGTCATGGCCAGCCAAATTCCTACAGGAAAGCCACAAGGAGGACATGGGCACAATAGCACCTTACCATTTGTGTCCCTCGGCAACCGGCATATGGAAGTACACTGGACCTGTTCGAGCTATCACAAGCAATAGCTGCTCATAGTCCTATCTGCCACTTAGTTTTCCACCAGAACACCAAATCTCACCAGCTGGATCCAGGCACATTAGGAAAGTGGATATAGAATTGAGGACCATGGTGCCCCTGAGCACACGAAAACCCAGATCCTGGTCTGAACAAGTATCCTTGTCTAGTTTACCCCCAAATACCTGAAGGAGCACTTACGTCCATATATGCCCGCCTGCTCCGAGATAGCGGGAGAGGCCCTTCTCCGGGAATCCTCCGTGAAGGAAATTAGGAGGGTGAGTACTCGGAGGAGGGCTTTCTCTGCAGTGGCGCCCAATCTATGGAATGCGCTCCCCAGAGAGGTCCGCCTGGCACCGTCATGTTATTCGACGCCAGGCGAAGACCTTTTTATTCAAACGTCATTTTAATTGTTAATGGTATTTATTTTATTCATTGGCCAAGGCGACTTATTTTATACTGTTAACTTGTTTTATATTGTTAATTTATAGTATTTTAATTGATGTATTTGTAAGCCGCCCCGAGGCATCCAACTTAGGAGAGAAACCAAGTTTTTTGTTATTACCTCAGCTATGTCATTTGGGAGCCAATAAGCCTTGCTGACCTTTTGCGAATTACCTGGAGATCTACCAGTAGATTCCAACCTACCTTCTGACCACTATGCATGAAAACAAGCACATCAGCCAACATAGGGATGGTTTCGTAGCCTGATTGAAGCAAGAGCCACTTTAAAAAGCCAAGTGAACGCCACCCTGTGTTTCTGCTGCATGATCCTCAAGGGTGACACACCTTCCTTCTTTGGATGACTTCACAGAACTCATTGCTAGAACTCCAATCTTGGTAATTTTACATGCACTAGAATATTATTCAGTTGCTAATAATTAGAATTACTGGGTCAATCCTTTAGGATGCTGGTTCAGAGATTCTACCAAATTCAAGTTATTTTTTCTTAAACGTATGTGAAAGACTGCAGAAGTTTTCTCTATTGGCATCCTAGTGGGGAGAGATCTTTGAAGGTCACAGATATGAGAAAGCAAAATGTGGGGGGACGGGGGGGATATAGATGCCAGAGCTGGTCCTCCATGCTCAATTTTAGTACAGCATCCTTAGCTGTAGCATGTGTGTCAAGATTTGTGGGTTTAGTGGAGCGCAATTTGTGGGAAAACACTGCAAAAGCTTTGGTGCGAAAGGGAAACCGCCAGGTTGCTATGCATTTAAACATGCTTTTTTCAGTTATTTCATGACTATATATGACATTTGTTAGCCTCTGCATAGTGTACATTTATCTTGAAATCCCAGTGATATGCCCTCCAGTCAGCAAGTGAACTAATCAAGCTGCTCCAGTCCGGAGCCAGAAATGTCTTTGTAGCTACCAGTAGCTGAAGCCCAAGACCAGACTTATTAGGCAGTGTAACGGCCACCTCACACTGCTTGCTGCTTCAGGAGCAAGTGCTGAGAATTTGCAGGGTGTCAAGGACTGAGATGTGTGCCTTAAACTAATCTGCAGCACTGGACACCGTCCAATTGGCTTCCATACTTAGAACTGAGAACACAACATTGTCTTTCACATGTAATAAAACGACCTGGGCTGACCCTGTCAAGGAGCTGGCATAGGAAGGTTGGATCTGCAGCATTGACTTTTGAGAATAGGTTAACTAAAACTGAGAGTTCAAAGCCTGTTCAAGTGTTGAAAATGATACTGAACAATCTGGATATTTAGAATCTCAGTTCCCTCTACAAACTATTTCAGCTCCTTCTTGGCCACCTGCAACCATCTTTCCTCCAATACTTCAAACCAATTCTGTAAAATGCTATGAGTCATGATTTATCAAGAACCTCTCCTATGTGCAATCATCCATATTAGCAAACTACATCCTCACATTGGCTTAAGGGTGAACCTACTCAAGTCTCACTGAATTATGAACACTTATTACAAACACTGGAAACACTACCTGTTAATTTAACCAGTTAAGTGCTCCCAGAACTGCAGTGTATGAATGCTTTATGACAGTGGTTTACTTAAGGACCCACAGTGAATTCACGGTAAAAGTACCTTCTCAGGGACATCTGATTTATGGTTTTCAGCACTATTTCTCAGGACAATGTTAAATCTAGTATCTGTACATGCTCACACCACTTAATTCCTCAAGTTAAATTGCCCGGTCCTTGAGTCTTGGCTCCTTCCTTACACGTTAATATCCATACCATGTTTTTTTGCTTGATCCATAAGTGATCCAGGAAGCTGACATATGCAAGAATGCACCGTTTTAAGCTTTTCCTCAAGCAACAGCCAAAGGAATTATCCACATCTTGGTACAGAGTGTACAGGACTGACTGCCTTGTGCCAATTTGGGTGGTGCTAGTGTGCAAGACACTAACATGGAAATGTACCAGTCCGGGCAGGTAAGAGATTTGCGGTTGCTGTAAAAACTGAGTACCAGTATGAAGAAAGCCAAGTTCCAGTAACATGTTTTCTTATATAAAGTGCGCTTTGTTTCCCCATACACTTCTGGAGAACATAAATGTTATGCAATACAGATGGACTCCAAGTAAGTAATCTGCATGAAGTGGCATTTCTCTAGTGAGAGCACTGAAAGCCAATCTCTCTTGGGGCAAGGCTGCAGCTCAGTGGAGGAATACATGGCTTGGATGTAAAAGGTTCCAGGTTCAGCCATTGGCATCTCCAGAAAGAACAGAAAAAGCCTTATTTGAAATCTCAGGACCTCAAGTGCCAACCAAGTGAGAATACAGAGCTAGGCGGATCAATAGCCTGCCTCAGAATAAAAGTTATCTCCCTCTCCTCCTACCGAATACCAACTTAAAAAAAGAATCAGTATTTGAGAGCTGTAGCTTTCAGAGACAAATCCTTGACACACTTAGCAATTGAAATTGTTCCACTTACTCTACCCTGCCTCCCCCAAAATGCTTTCAAGGCTGCAGTGAATATGTATACATGCCTCCTCAAATGGAGAATTTGCCACATAATTTCCCATCTGTTTATCCTCACAGAACAGCAAACCTATTTTCTACCCTTTTAAAATTCAAAGCCATTATCACAATCCGACTAAACACTGATTACAGCAACAGTGCTATCACTCATGAAGCATGAGGCAGAAGTGGTATTTGATATTTGTAGCTTTATTTTAGACTACAGGCGAGAACCACAACATTCCAGACACTAAGCCGTCTCCTCTTTTGCAATACGGTCTTTCTTGAGTGGTCCCTGCAAAGAGAGTTATGAACATATGTCAGTCTACACAGCAGATCCATCTCCAAATGCAACATTAGCTAGCATGTCTGCTTTATTTTTTCCCTTAAGAAGTGGAAATGAATAAAATATGACATCATTAAGACAACTGTTGACATCTGCTGCCATCTGCTGGCTGATTGTAACAGTTCATTGATGGGACTACTGGCTACCTTTCTGATGGAAAATACCTACTGCCTGTTGGATGCAGAGGCCCTTAAAATCTGATGAATTGTGATCAACACCATGCAACATTGCTATGAAGCAGCATTTCAAGTAGGCTCAAATGTCAGGATTGAAAGGTGCCGACTCTTTCCACGATCTACTAACCTCCCCGCCCCCCAAACAAAAAGTCAAGGTTCTTTTAAAAATCTGAAGCTAAAGAATGTTCAACTACATATAACTGGATTTTCAAGTGTCACAATGCTTTTGCTGTATTTAAGCAGTGTCGTGGAGTTCAAGTACTCCCAGGGAAGAAAGCCAGTAACTGTCAGACCATATGGCTAACATCACTCCATGGCCTCTTTATCCTACATGCCTGTATCTCAGCAGAAAGCAGAATTCCAGAGCCTCAGCTTATCCAAGTGGCAAAAATCATAGAAGAATTGACACTGTTCTGGAACAGTTTGTCTGCTCTTTTCATATACATTACATCAGACCAATGCTATAGGTGGCAAAGAAGTATTTCCAACACATTAGAAAACACTTACCATGAAAGCCTTTTTCTCTTCTGCTGTCTGGAAGCGGCCGTGGCCAAATTTGGAAGTGGTGTCGATAAATTTCAGGGCAATCTTTTCCAAAGCCCGACGTTTGGTCTGCACCAGCAAGGACTAAAAGAAAGGATTGGTGTCTATGTATAATTTGCTGTTCAAGTGCACACTGCCAAAATTTGAATGCAGAAACACTAGTCTAAATAGTTATTTAGATATTCCTGAATATCTAGGATGACAAACTACAACTGTATCTCCTCACCTAGGCAATATGATTGTAAGGCTTACCTTGCGCAGAGTGAGAACTCTCTTCTTGGTCCCAACAACGCAGCCTTTCAACATGATAAAGTCATTGGTCACTTCACCATAATGAACAAACCCACCCTGTGCAATAAGAACAAAGCAATATTTACTATTGTATTCTCACCTCTTGTACCTGCAATTTTCCTCCACCCCTAATAGGATCTGCTAAAGTTACTGTCTCCACCCCAAACAGAAGATACAATTTATGGCCGATAATCACCTGATACAAGTTTACAGAGATGAATGTTGATGCTGAAGCAGAATTAAATCTTTCAGAATCATTATAAGGACAGTGAAGCTTACTTCATGTTTCCAGAATGTGGCAGTCCCTCCTCATTCTGTGTTGAGGCATAACACACAATGGATTCCTGCCCAGCAATGATCCACCTAGATCCCCAATTTTAACATGAGAACTCACCAGAGGGTTAATGCTCTTATCAGACTGATCGTACTCAGTCGAAGCATTGTTTTTGATCAACTTGCCGTCCTTGATTTGGTAACCTTGGCCAATCTTGTAGATCTATGTGACCAACAAATAGGAAAAGGAAGGAGAAAAAAAAAGAGTGCTCTTCAAACAGTGAGAAGCTGGTATGAGGCACCTACAAATCCATTTGCTAGGAACAAATGCCCCCAAGTCCTCCAATGAAGAGCATGAAGCCCCACAGAAATCCCTACCACAGTTCTTTTTCACTGTTTCAACACATAAGAAATTCATACAAATTCCTTCTAAGCAGCAGACGACACACCCAGGTGGTTTATTTTGTACAATGAACTAAATTTCTCCCAAACTGCCTATTCATGCCAGAGGATGCTGAGAAGGAGATGGGGAGCAACCAAAGTTCACTTCGAAAGTCTTGCCAGTACCTGAGGACTACTGACCAATGTGCGCTTATCTTATCAGGAAGTCTTTTTTTATCCCTAACATTTCCTTGATAACTTTTAAAGACTTATGCTTCGTAATGACCAGTTAAACCATGTAGAAAATTATCTGCATGCTAAATCTTAATGTTTTGGTTATAGGACTAGATAAGCACACTAACCCTTCCTTAGTAAAATATTGTATTCTCTAGTAAAAATCATGATGCCACAGGGCAAATGTTAAGTCAAACCAAAAGTGAGAGCTTGGCACTTAGCTCTCCCAAGCTGTAGGCTCATATTCAGCCATGCAAATCATTCTCTACTGAAACAGTCTTCCTTCCACCCCCGAAACATATTTTGTAAGTTCAAGGCCATGTGTACTCAAATCAAGGCTGAACAGGGCAACACTCTCACCTTCTTATTGATCTCAGTGCGGTGATGGTAGCCCTTCTGACCAGCTCGGGCAACAGAAAAGGCCACACGAGCAGGATGCCAGGCACCAATGCAGGCGACTTTGCGCAGACCTCTATGAGTCTTGCGGGGCAGTTTTTTGGTGTGCCATCGACTAGTAACTCCTGAGAACAAAAGAAATGTAACTTTATTAAAACTGCTCAGCTTTAGCAATGTATTGAGCCCTCAAATTTTGTGTGAAAACCAAGTTTCACCCACCGTGAAAGCCTTACTTTGTACCCTTACAACTAATGTTGGCAACCAAGTCACCAATTTCCTATTGCCTCTGCAACTGAAATTAAAGGCTCAATCATTTGTACGTTTATAGTCAGAAAAGAGTCAAACAACTCCCAGCATTCCTTAGCAGTGCTTTCTTCTAAATATATACATATGATCATACCTTGAGAGTACTGTACTAAAAGAGGGAGGTGTTACAAATAACCTCTCTGGTCAATCCCAATCCCAGCTGGTCTCAGAAGGAAGGCAGCATGGAATGACTCTTCATGAGTATCAGGCACTGTGCCCAGTGCATATTCCATGACCTCATCACTGAACAGCTTTTGTCTAGCAAGCATGTAAGATACTTCCTTTCCCTCTCCCCACTGCATGCTAAGGGAAAAATAAACAGCCCCATATGCAAACATGAAACTGAGCCCTATACAGAATTTTAAAAAAAGTGCTTTTAAGTTCATTTTGGGCATACTGTGGCCTGCTGGACAAGTTACCTTTGTAGCCCTTGCCCTTGGTGACACCAATGACATCTATCATTTCATCCTGGCCAAAAACAGTTGACACAGGCACTTGCTGCTCCAGCTTTGCACGGGCCCAATCTACCTTCTCAGCCACAGTGCCACCATTCACTTGGATCTCCATCAGGTGAGACTTCTTTTGACGGAGTGGAAGCAAGCGCATCTGGGGACCAGAAAAAATGACTGTTATTGCACTGCCTAGTCCAAGATGCCTTAATTATATCTGCAGTTGCAATTTTTCCTGCATCCATGGGTATTTCCAGCTCCATTATTCCAGAGCAAAAGGCTAGTTTCAACTGCTTGTTTAAAAAACTGATTACACAATTTCAACAGATGGAACACTTTTAGACTGCCCCCATTATACACTCTGAAGGCTCTTGCACCAAAAAAGCTAGCCTATTCCTGATATACCTCAATGCTTCCTTCCTACAACAATTAACAGCTGCTTGGATAAGCTTAATTTAAGGCACTTCTCAAGTTATAACCTGAATATTTCACAGAAATCTTCCTGTTCAAACTATAAATTCTTCATAGAAATCCAGCTCAATTTTACAGCTATATACCATTTTAACTATTCCTGTAAAAAGTTTAGTAACAGAAAGTGATTTCTAAGCTGTATTTCATTACAAAAATTTTGCAAGAATTAATGCATGCTTGCTCACTTAAGGCACATAACTGCTTTTTAAAGGTTTATATGCAAAGAGATTTATGACATAGTTCAATCAGGTCCCACCATTTCCCAGAATATTAGAATACAAGGCAATTGTTCATTAAAAATCATATGATAAGCGTTTAGAATATGACCATCTGAATAAAATATTGCAACAAGCTGCCAAGTCCACAAATTAGAATGGTCGCCTTGGGTATTACATGAGCAGAGCCAGCTGGATCCAGGGATCAGACCAGATGACCTGGGAGAGTCCTTCTCACTTGCTATGCTTCTATGTAACAGGCACTGGGGGGTACAGACCCAACTAGTGACAAGGAGAACCTGTCAACCAACAGAATAGGACCTCCTGGTAGTTATCGGCAGAGCCACAGCCACTAACCTCTACAAATCTGTACTTAGGGTAAGAACCAAGTTAAAAGACTCACCTGAGTGTGGCCTATGACCCTGATAACCTGGCAGTACTTCTTCATACTGTTGAAATCCTTTTCCAGCTGCTTCTTGCCTTCGTCATCCTGCCACTTCTTGCAATACTTGGTAAAGGCCTTCTTTTTGGACTTATGCCTTCAAGGAGGGGCAGAAGAGCAGAGAGGGGATTGGCACAGCCCTTCATCAGCCCACCAAGGCAGGTGGCTGAGCGGAAGAAACTGCCAGTGAGGTTGGGTTTGGCTCATTGTTGGCTTCTAAGGAACATTTTCCACCAACAAGCGGAGCCTGGAGCTCATCAGACAAAAGGCAAACCTGCCAGAGCTGAGCGGAGCTGCCATAAATAATCCAAATAATATTAATATGCACTGTTCAAAACTGTAATTAAAGGAACGCAGCTCAGAAAACCTTCTGTACTTCAGATATTATATTCAAAGCAATTCTCTTAATTTTAATTTAAAGTTCCAAAGTCTTATCTCACAATATTAGTGCTGGGTGTTATATTCTTAGCATAAAAGGCAAACCCCCGCTCTGTTTAACAAGATGGTGGTATACATTTACTGATGCTACCTTAGATTCAGAATGATTTCCCCCGCAATGAGCTCTGTCATAGTATCAGGGGGTGGGGGGGGGGGTCTATGGTTCCCAGAGTCTATGGTAAGGTTATCCCAGTCCCAGGAAACTCATTGGAGAGTTAGTCCCACCAGTGGAGAAAGCAAAATTGTACAATTGGCCGAAACAGCAAACTACACTCAGTTACTCGACAATCAGCAACAAACGCCAAACGCGTTTTATTTATGTCCGCCCGTCGAGGAAATCATCATGTGTAGCATTCCATGTACAAAAGGGTTCCTAAGCAAGACCCTCCCACCTCAATATGAACAAGCTCTTTAAAACATTTTCATTTCTCCCATTTAAGACATGTTTTTCTACTGGCACTGCGATCAAAGCTTAGGGTTACCAGTAATCCCTTCCCTAAAGAACTATGACCCAGGAGAACTCTCATTCTTCCAAGAAAGTCTTAATGATTTCTGCACCTTTCCATTTTAATCATCATACCAGTTCTTGTAGAAACGACGTTTGCATTCATCACTGATGTGCTCAGCAAATATGGTCTTGAAGGTGCGAAGGCCACGAGGAGTTTGCACGTAGCCCACGATTCCAACTATCACCATGGGAGGGGTTTCCACCACAGTAACTGCTTCAACAACTTCTTTCTTGTTCACCTCTGAGAAAAAGAGTATGGGTTAGCACTAAAGACAGGAACAAAGCTTTATTTTTGGTACCAGAGGGAAACTGCAAATCACTGCACCAAGAAGGAACCTAAACTTTCAGGCCTGGAAGTCAGATTAAGCCTCTTAGCACAAGCTGGAATGTGAATGCTATGCTGAACAGCTAAGTATTTAAATAGAGGCTTGGAATAAATACAACACACGTTCTTATGCCTGATCTTCACAACAGAACATTAACACTGGGGGCCAGACTATCTTCTCCTACCTCTCACCTATTAATTAATAAAGTATTGTGGGGGGGTATGTATTTATGTATTTATTTGAAATACTTATATGCCACCCCATTCGCAAAAGCCTCAGGGCGGCTTCCAATACAAATAAATGGTTATACGAATACATAAAAACTGGAAACATCCCGGCATAAATATAAAATCAATAAAAAAATTCAACAATTAAAATAACGTTTAAATAAAAAGGTCTTGGCCTGGTGCCGAAAAACAAATAACGACAGCGCCAGGCGGACCTCTCTGGGGAGTGTATTCCATAAGTGGGGCGCCACCGCAGAGAAGGCCCTCCTCCGGTTCACGGAGGGTTCCTGGAGAAGGGCCTCTGCCGCCGATCTCAAGGGGTGGGAAGGCAGATATGGATGCAAGCGCTCCTTTAGATACCCAAGCCATTAAGGGATAATGAATGAATGCCAAAACATTCTTGGTGTAAGCTTCACCTCAGTTACGGACCAAACAGGCTTAGATGAACCATTTTCCATCCTCAGGCTCGCACCCAATTATAGGGGTAATAATACCACATCTTTAAGAACTACTGAGAACATATAAAAGTGCTATACAAGTGCTAAGCATCAGTAACATTTCCCTCACATTGAATTAATATCACAAGAAAAAGTCATACATACTGGATCCAGGCCTGTCAACTTCACGGACAATGTGAGTCATGCCAGCCTTGTACCCAAGAAATGCAGTGAGGTGAATGGGCTTGCTGGGGTCATCTTTAGGAAAGCTCTTCACCTTGCCACGATGGCGACGGCTGCGCTTGCGGGGCAGAAAGCCCAAAGATCCATGCCTGGGAGCTGAAAACTTGCGGTGAGACTAGAAAATAAATGACATATTTTGCTCACTAGGCATCCTGGAGTAAGTCACTCTCATAACCCAATAGGGTTCTTGTGAGGCTCAACCAATAACCTCAACCTCCTTACAAGAGATTTTTTATGTTTTAATATGATGCATTTTAATTATTACTTTTAATGTACTCTTTAATGTTTAAAGCTGCCTGTGCACTGCCCAGGCAGCTACAGCTATTGGGAGGCATAGAAATTAAATAATCAAAAAAACAATCCTGCACTCACAAGTTCCAGAGACCCCACTAGAATGTGCTTCTGCTGTGCATTTAATTTATTTTCAGCATTTGTATAGTTCTACGGAGATAAATTCCATAGTAGTAAACATTAAAAAATATAACTCTGAGAAAATTAAAACACTGCATTAAAATCATGTCTGGCCAGGCAGCAACAAAACCAGTATCAAGCCGCATTTTAAGTCTCTTAACCTCACTAGGCCAATCTACTTACTGGCCATGATGGCTATGTATTATCTCCAGTGTAAGTAGCAGTATCGCTGTTAACCAGGTACTGGGGAACCCAAGCATGAGGGTGCTATTGTGTTCATGCTCTACTTTGGGAGTCAGGCAGTTGGCTGGCCACTGCGCAATCAGAATAGTGGAATATATAGGCCTTTGGTCTGCTTCAGATCAGTCATGTTCAATCTACCACACAAGGGCTCAGTATGATAAAAAGGCAAAATTAGTGCTAATCTTGCAAATGAGAGCTGGTGTGGTGTAGCAGTTAAGAGCACGGTACTGGTGCTCAAGTGATCTGGGTTCTAGTTCCTGCTCAACAATGAAGTCAACTTGGGTGATTTCCAGCCAGTCACAAATTCTCAGTCCAACCTACTTCACAGGATTGTTGCTGTGAAGATTGAGAGCAGCATAATTATGTAAACTGTCTAGTTTTGTTGTAAGGAAAAAGGAGAATATAAATCCAATAAACTGGTTCCACAAATCACAACAACATATTAAAACTATCAACCCACCATACCAGATGTTTGTCTCCAGAACCAAAGTCAAGCTGGTCCTTCAGTTTAATCCCATAGTGCTGTTCAACATATTTCTCCTCATAGCAGAATCTAATCCTGTTATAAGCAACTTCTAAAATCATAATCTAAGATATGAGTGCTTTTGAACTTTGGACAAGAACAGTATGTGTTGCATAAGGCACTTGATTTACTATTATATAAAAATCAAAAGTCCCCCCCACACCTGCAATCAATAGCCAGTGGTGTATTTACCAGGAGCATATGAACAGACATACAAATAACCAGCTTTGCACACACTTCCTCAACCAGATGCATTCCAAATGTACTGGGCCGCAACATCCATAATTCCCAGTCATCACTGCCATAAAACTTTCCTTACTTATTAGTTCTACTTCTCTGATAAGAACTTTATTTCTGAAAGAACCAGGAGTAACTTACATACCAGAATAGCTTTACACCTTGAAATGTTACCCAAAACCTGGGAACCTATGCAAGCTTTAGTTGTACTGCCTAGTGGGCCTTTTATTCCTGGAACCTACAACCTACTGGGGTTCTCTGATCAGGTAACACCATTTGAAGTGCCCTAAACAACCAACCAGATTTTTAAGGGCTCTTCTCTATCCATTGTTAATCATGTTGCCTTACCAGGCTTATGTACTACCCTTACAGCCACCCAGTGCACAAAGAAGTCACCACACTATTAGACTTTACAAGGTTACCTACACTGCATTCTACTTTTCGAGACCTTGGAAAAATGGTTAAACTACCTTGGATTACTAGCAGAGCACTTCAGCCTAAGTAACACCAAAAAGCTTCAGACACACCAAGCCCACCTCTGTTCACATCTCTCTCATGCGGGAATTGGATAAGAAAGGGCAGACTAGCTAGGCCAGTAATACATTCAGGCGCGAGAAGGTCCAGGATTACAACACCGATTGCGATGTAAGAAGCCCCAAAATAGTTCCGGGGGTGCCTTCAGCAAACACCTTAGAACAAGAAAAATATAATGTCTGAAAGGTCCGAATCACTAAAGAAGGGATGGCCGCGGATTATGAATCTCCACCAGCCTCTCAGCCAACCTACCATTTTCTCTCCGAGTCGATGCAGAAGGGAAGTAGAAACCGGCGCATGCGCTATTTATCACTTCGCCTCCCGTATGTACGTAGATACGCACAACCAACGTTTTTGCGCATGCGCCTTCCAAATCCGAAGGCTCTTCGTGTACTTGTAGAGCGATCCTCGCGATGAGACAGGAAAAATGATAACGCCATTTGAGAAAAAGGAAGAGTTACGGATACTGAGAAGGATGGATCATGATCAATAGGCGCAATATCATAACGAAGGTTGTATTTAGGTAGTAAACCTCACTGCACTGTCGTAGGAGTTCCTTATAGGGAAGCGTGCATGTAGAAACGCATCGTGTGAGATTTGTAGGTAATTCTAGGTATACTTCAATAGGACTTTGATGCGGACTGATAGAAGTGCAATTTAAAAAACTAAATTATGAGAAACATTTATTTTAAGATAGCTGCTGCTCTTTTCCATTCCCTGGCTTTGAGCAGCTGGATTCAGATAATAGAGCTCGATCTTCTCTTCCGTGTATGCTTTCTTCCAGAGCCAGTTGCAGGGTATCAGAGGATTCCATCAAGTCCACGCAGCGTGGGTCAAGCGTGGCAATGTTACAAGAAGGGCATGAAGGTGGCAGACTTTCCTTGTTGTCCCCAGCATCTGATGTATGGGGTATTGAGAGCTAGACTGCTTCTGGATCTGGAGGTTCCATTTAGCTCACTGGTAGCTGTTTATAAACCTTTGAATTTTTCAAATCCCAGATCACCGGAGAACTCATACATGACCCACTGGATTCGTTAGGTTTAAGGTTAGGGTGAATGTCTTGTACTGGCTCACATCTTTTCAGCACTTTTGCTGAATCTTTAGTTACACCTCTCTGCACCTCCTTCTGCAGGGATGTGGGAAGGCAGTGGATCTGAATCATACCTGTTAGTGTGGTGGTGGTTGTGGTGTTTTAAGTGTGATGTATTAGTCTGAAGCTCAAAGGTAGCAACCTGTCTCAGCATGATCACATTCAGCTCTCTTTCTGATGCAATCAACTGTGGTGACATCACCCAGTCATGTAAGAGGAGTCCCAGAACAGATGCTGGAATGAGAAAGGAAAGGAAGACTTCCATGCTGACCTTACACCTAAGGGATCAAAGATAACAAAATGATGGCTGTGAAAAGACTTAAGATTTACCAGCCAACTGGGGAGCAAATGATGCTGCACAAGGCACAGCAAACACTGAGGTTTCCCCAAGCACAGTTTATGGTGCTCTGCCTTTTGATGTACTCTCTCTTTCTGAAAGTCTACAGGCCACTGCTGCTCTCCCTTACCTCTATAGGTAAGCTAGTTTTATACTGGGTCACTGTTCATGTGATTGGGATCCTCACTCTGTGGTATAGCAGCCTAAAGTTGGCAAGTATTGTGCATTTAATTCTCATGAGGAAGCTCTGGAGAGAAGTGCTGGCTCCAGTGGCCTATCTCCTGTGGCATTTTCAGGCAGCTGTAAGGAGCTTTGGTATTTCCTTGGCCAGTGCCTTGCAAGACTGTGTTGCCAAATGGACTCTAGGGTTGCTACTAGCACTCTTCAAGCACATTGCATTGCCAAACATTCCATTTCCAGGGGACCATCTCCGCTGTTCTGTGTGCGCCTTTCTTCAAGACAACACTGAAGCATATCAAGCAGTGTTACGGCAGGTCATGAAGCAAATCATTGTCTCACTCTTCCTCGGATTCCTTGATGGAGTTCAGGATGCTTTTCAGCTGTCAATAGAAGCAGTGAAATATGTCCTAACCAAATGTCTTTACTCCATCAGGCCCACATCGTGTTCAGGCTGCAAAAATAATACCTTTGATGACATCACCCATGTCCTCTCGCATTCCTGCATCCCCTTATGCAGTCGTTTTAATGGTCCTGCTAGTTCCATTCTCAAAGACATACCCCAGAGCTTTGTAGCACTTAAGTTTGTTGTGGCCACAGAGAGCATAGTTGATGGACCAGGCAAGTATGGTTTGGATGTCACCAATATCCCTCTTCATGTGAGATTCCAGAAGAAGAGTGGGACGAAGAATGCACCATTATCTATGCAAGAAACAGATGCAACAGTGAAACAAATGAAGGTGGCCTGTGTGGTCTTTATTACACTCTACCTTTCCATGTTCTTCAGTGTTATTAAGAACATCAGATAAACAGACCAGAAATGCAACCTTTTATATGTCACTGGCTCTTTTATGAAATATCTCCTTAGATCCCTACTCTCTCCTCAACCTCTGCTCACATAACAGGATAGCTGGAAGTGTGCATGATCTCAATGCTAGGCACCCCGATTAAGAAGGCTCTTCTTCACTCCATGGCCAAACAAGCTGCAGTGCAGTTTGGTAACCAAGTCCTCCTATTTAATACAGGAACCTGGGTGGACTGAATGAGGGAAGGCAGTCTCTCAGACAACCTGGTCCTGAATGGTTCAGGGCTTTATAAGCCAGCAGTAACACTTCGAATATGGCTCTGTAACTGACTGGCAGCCAATGCAGAGTTTTTCAGCACAGGAGTCCAATGAGTACAGTAAGAAGCCCCAACAAACAATCTGGCTGCTACATTCTGTGCCAACTACAGCTTCTGACCCAAATTGTGCTGGAGTTGGAGAAAGAGGACACAAGCTGCAATCCTAAATTCATCTATTAATAGCAAATTCATCCCATTGATCACCCTGGAAGTTCTGAACAGGCCCAGATCCAGGGGAACTTGGGGGGAGGGGTTGTCCATGTTGCACACAGCAGATGTAAAAAATAGTTAATTTCCTGCTAGCAGGCAGCTGCCCTCTTGCCTATCCTGGATCTGGGCCTGCTTTTGAGTAAACATGGTTAGCACTGACTTTGGAAGCTGCCTTTGTGGAGGTAACCAGCAGTGCTTTTTCAGGGTCCTTGGCCTTTCAGAGCGCTTACTACTAGACTGGCTGGGCCAGGGATTAAAACTGGGACTGTCTGCATTTAAAGACAGCTCTGGTCCCTCTCCAATATTCCAGGATTTAGTGAGACCGAAGGATTTCAATGGCTACTAGTCAAGATGGTTGAATGCCACCTTAAGTACCAGGGGCTGTGGTACTCCAGCAAATATTATTCAGAGATCTTGTGATTTCATTTGTGTAGCTTTATAATTTTGGTTTTAAGTTTAACTTTTGTTCTGTATTTTTATAATGTATTTACTGTTCTGTGTATTTTTATATTGTGTTTTATTGAGTTTTGTGTGCTGCTGTAAACCACCCAGAGAGGTTCAGTTGCAGAGCATTACAGGAATCACCACTGCCACCACAACGGAGAGCTATTGCCCTCTGCTTTTTAGTCACTGTGGGAATATTAGATAATCTAAACTAATCTAATGCTAGATTAGGTGGATGGATGGATGGATGGATGTTTGGTCTGATCCAGCCAGGCTCTTTTTATGACTTTCAAGGAAGCATGTATAAACGTGTCGTTTGTGTTGCATTTGGCAGGCAGCTTTACTGAGCTTCCTTTACCAACTCTACCCTCACCCTCATAGGAAGATTTTTGCCTTGTAATGATTAATGCTTTAAAGTTCAATGTTGCCAAAGTCAACAGCAGCCTGTTCTTCCTTTGCAGACTAAAAAGGTCTACAATCCTATACATAATTAGACATAAAAATCCTACATGTTGGCAGTTGTAGGACTTTTTTCTGTCTCAATATGCATAAGCTTGTGCCTTCAGGATGTATAACACACAGTGCCAGCACAACTGAAGACAGAGACGCCCCACATTAGGATCAGAGATAAGCCCCTGCTACACTAGTCAGCCAGCTGTTGGATGTAATGTAAGCTCAAGGCTAGGAGGGGAAACTGGAAAATTCAGAAAGGCTAAAAATGACAGGCATGCCAAGAGGACCCCAGAAACATTTCCATGGCCCTCCAAGCAGGGATTGTGCTGGCAATGGTGCCTCTGCGCTGTCCACACTTGGAGGAAACCAATGAACTCCTGAGGATGAGGGCACACCTGCAGCATGTCTGCTATGGGAAATGCCCATAATTATAGTCTACCCCCTGCTTTAACATTTGATCTTCACGTATCAGTATAAATTATTTCCTGTTTCATGCAATGCTCATTGCTATTTTCCATCTTTTGAGTGTAAATAAAGACTAAGCCAAATGCCATCACAAAACAAAGTAAGGCTGTCATCTTGTACTGTACACTGAACCCCACATTCTCAAGAATGCATCTTTTCCCTGTGCTATGATATTGTGACTCTGCTATTTCGGTGAACACAGCCAAATTTGTTGCATCCCTAATTGTATACCAGTAAAAGATAAATTTGATCATTAACTTTAATAAGGAACCAAGGAATAATAATGCTGGGAATCTTAGAGGATTAAAATTTCTTTCTCCTTGGTTTCACTATTTCCAGGCAGTTTACATCTCTTTTATCTATGAAAGTCTAGTTTAGACAGAACAAAGTCCTTCCACTCCCACCAAGTCTCAGCCAGGCATCCTAGGAGTTGCAGCTCTTTTTTTTCTGTCTAAGCATGTTTAGGATTTCGTCTCTTATTATACAGGGGTTAAAAAAAAGAAATCATTTGGGAGAAAGAAAGGCTGCATAATAAATAAGTGCTATGCTTAAATTCAAAATGTAAATATTTCAAAATCTGAGGCAGTTCAGGTTTTCAGGAGAAAAAAAAACTCCAAGTGGTCTTAAGGGAAGAAATTTTTCCCTGCCTGAATTTTCCTTGTTTTTAGAACTGCAATGGGTTCCAATACCCCTGGCAAAATCTCAGTCCTTATCCAGATCTTTTTGTTGCCAATAATACATTCTAGTTATCACACACAGTATTTTCCCCTTTCAAAGTGTAATAGTAATATTATTATTGTTAATTTTATTTCTATGCCACCCAATAGTTGAAGCTCTCTGGGCAATTTACACCACCACATAAAATACAATATAAAATACATATAACATGAAAATAATTAAATTACTATACAAAATTTTAAAACCAAATTTAAAACAAGTATAAAGTGTTGTATAGTGTAGGCTATAGCAGCCTATACAAATTA